CATGAAGAAATGCTCCAAATCACTGGCAATAAGAGAGATACAAATCAAACCCACAATGAGGTACCATCTCACTCCAGTAAGAGTGGTAAAGTTTAACAGGGCAGCAAATAAAAGATGTTGGAGAGGATGTGGTGAGAAAGGAACTCTTATACATTGTTGGTGGGATTGTAAAATGATGCAACTATTCTGGAAGGCAGTTTGGTGCTTCCTCAAAAAGCTGAAAATAGAAATTTCATATGACTCAGCTATTCCATGACTTGGAATATACCCTAAGAATATGAGAACTGAGGCACGAACTGAAATTTGTACACCAATGTTCATAGCAGCCCTATTCACAATTGCAAGAACATAGAAAAAGCCCAAAAGTCCAACCACAGATAAACAGATTGTAACATTATGGTGCATTTACACAATGGAATACTGTGCAGCACGCAGAAGCAACTATATGCAGAACAGATTTTCCGGGAGGCTGGGCTCTATGAAGAGAAATGTGGGGTCAAGATTGGTGGATGATTTATCAACAATCTGCGTTATGCGGATGAAAAAACCTGCTTGCTGAAACTGAAGAGGACCTGAAGCGCCTGCTGCAGAGTGTCAAGGACTGCAGTCTACAATATGGATTGAGGCTCAATGTCAAGAAGACAAAGATTCTCACCACTGGACCAATTGGTAGCATCAGGGTGGATGGTGAAGACATTGAGATTGTACACAGCTTTAGTCTGCTTGGCTCCATAGTCAACAGTCTTGGCACCAGCAGCCAGGAAATTAAAAGGCGCATTGCCATGGGAAAGTCTGCTGTTAGGGACCTCTCCAAAGTGCTGAAGAGCAATGGTGTCTCTTTGGAGACTAAGGTGCATCTGATACAGGCCCTGGTCTTCACAATCACCTGTTATGCATCAGAGAGTTGGACAATGACCAAGGAGGACAGAAGGAGAATTGATGCCTTTAAGCTGTGGTGCTGGAGAAGAGTATTGAGAATACCATGGACTGCTAGGAAAACAAACAGATTTGTCCTGGAAAGGGTTAAACTGGGTGGCTCCTTGGAGGCAAGGATTCTGAGGCCCCGTCTAACATACTTTGGACATGTTGTGAGAAGAGACCGGTCCTTGGAGAGGGACATCATGCTTCGGAGGGTGGAGGGCCAGCACAGGAGAGGAAGGCCCTCTATGAGGTGGATTGATCCAGTGATTGAGATAATTGGGATGGGAGTATCAGAGACAGTGCGATTGGCACAGGACAGAGCGGAGTTTAGGGCTGTTGTACATAGGGTTGCTATGAGTCGCAGGCAACTCGACGGCACATAACAACAACAACAACATTACCAAACTTGGGAGGGACTGGAGAGCATTATGTTGAGTGAACTAATTCACTCCCATAAGGATAAATAAAATAAAATTGAGAGCACTCTGGATCCAAGATGGCGGCAGAGGCAGAGACAATGTGGTGAGCTGTGGGAGCAGCGGACCACTTGGAACAGGGCCACTATGGCCTTCTACAGACTTCTGTTTATTGATAATTAATTCAACAGTTAAACAGTTGTTAATGGGTCTTCAATGAGGATTGAGGCTCAACAACAGGAATTCAAGGATTCCCAAGGAAGAATGGGTGAGTTCCACAGCTCCCAACCCCCTCCTGCAGAGCCCGCACCACACTGCACCACAACCGCAGCTCCATGAAGCTCCCACAGCCGGAACCTATGGAATCCCTGGCCCAGGATGGAGAGTGGGCACCGGGCCTCCCCAGGCATGGTGCAGTGGAGCTGCCACACTGAAGCAAAGTGGACTTGTTCTGGGGAGAATTCTTGGAGCCAAGATGGCGGCAGCAGGGGAAGCAGGCAGCCACTGGGCCACCCGTGTGGGAGATGACGGGAGATGGCTTGCACCCGCTGGCCACCCACGTGGAAGATGACACTCACCTGGCAGCCACCTGCGTAGGGTTATAGTGTGCGACCGCTGGCCGCCTACACACAAGATGGTGCGTGCCCACCGGCTGCCCGTGTGCGAGATGACGCATGCCTGCCAGCCGCCCGTGTGGGAGATTACACTCAGGGTATGGCGCGTGCCTGCCAGTCGCCCGTGTGGGAGATGGTGCGTGCCTGCTGGCTCCCCACGCTGGGGGATGGTGTGCACCCACTGGCTGCTTGTGCATGAGATGATGCGCGCCCGGCAAGAGATGATGCCTGTTAATAATTTTCAGGTTCCCTTTGCCATTTATAAAGGGGAAGGGCAGTGACACCTACTTCAAATTATAGTATGACCACTTATTGGGTGGGGGCTAAAAGTGGTGGTGATGGAATTGGAGATGCTGTCCCTGGCCACATAGTCCTCAGTGAGCTGAGGGGTCCAGATTGGGGTGGGGGCAATTAGAGGGGAGTGTACTAGCCAGCCCATGGGGGGTGTTGCCCTGCTTGGGACGGGCTGTCTTCGGCCCTCGGCTCAGGGCGAGCTGTCATGGCCCTCGGGTGAGCTCCTCAGTCCCCAGATTGTGCCATCTGACCCCTGGGTAGGGAAAAAAAATGCCTAGGGTATCCAGAGAATTTTATCTAGGCTACTTTCTGCCACCCTCTCTCCCAGTAAACCTGAAAGCAACACCTCCAAAACCCCTCTATTTGTAACTCACAAGTTTGCTCTCTCTAAGTTTGCTCCCTTTCCTATAGGTAACCTTAACACTGAGTTTTACTTCAGACCTGACCCTTAACCCAGTGCCAGTGACAAAAAGGAAATGCTAAAGAAGCAAAGGAGGATGGAGCCTCTGGATTCAACCAGCCATCCCCACTGGACGCACTTGGGAAAACACTTTGCAGTCCAGAGGGAGCAAAGGACAGGAAAATATCTTCTAACAGAACAAGAAGGCAAGCAGCTTTAACCCAAGTTCACCAGTAAGGTGATAAAGTGTCCTCCCTTTCCCTCTTCACATCAACACCCCTGTTCAGCATGAAGAAGCCAGAGAGTCAGCATCCAGTTCCCAAATCAGTAAGACAGTTGATTTAACTACCATTGGAAAATTCTTGTCATTTTCCTGTAGCATCTGGTCCCCACTGGGTCATTTTTATTTCCTTCACCTGCTCCCTCCACCAACCAATTTCTGCAGCTCTGCAATTGCATCCCTGCCCATCCTCACCATTCTGCCCCCAACCCTCACCTCCTTGTACCCCCAATATGTTTTTTTCCCAATTAAAAAATAAATAAAATTGAGAAACAGGGGCCTTGTTCAGAGAAATTACTCCCATGACTGTGAGGAAACTTTTCTGAGTTGTAAAGGAAAAGAGAAACACATACGCACATGAATCTTAGTAAGCTTTACAAATGGATTTATGCATTTCAATAGAGGCAGTGAACAAGTTTATAAGACCTCAATGGTGTATAAGAATTATGTGTTCAATTGTCAACAAAAATGATGGAAAACGCTTTTATGTTCAATTGCCAACCAAAAGGCTCGAGCTCTAAGTAACCAAAGATGCCTTGGAAAAAAAGCCTGTGTGGAAACTGAAGAGGATTTGAAGCACTTGCTGCAGAAGCTCAAGGACTATCGTCTTCTATATGGCTTGAAGTCCAACATCAGGAACACAAAGATCCTCACCACTGGGCCAATTGACAGCACCATGATGGAGGGAGAAAAACCGAGGTTATTAACAATTTCAGCTTGCTCGACTCCACAATCAACACTCTTGGCACCAGCAGTTTTGAAATCAAAAGACAAATTTCACTGGGGAAGTCTGCTGTCAGGGACCTCTCCAAAGTCCTAAAGAGCAATGGTGTCAGTCTAAAGTAAAGAGTAAGGTGTGTCTAATCCAAGTCGTGGTTATTATAATTACTTGCTGTGCATCAGAGAGCTGGACAATGGCTAAGGATGACAGAAGAAGAATTGCTGCCTTTAAGTTGTGGTGTTGGCGAAGAGCACTTGAACATACCATGAACCCCAGGAGAACAAAATAGATTTGTCGTGGGGAAGGTGAAGCCTTGGAGGCTAGAATTTTGAGGCTCTGTTTCAAATACTTTGGGCATGTGGCCGGGAGGAAGCAGTCCTTGGAGAAGGTTATCATAATCGGAAGGGTGGAGGACCAGCGCAGGAGGGGAAGACCCAGGATGACCTAGATTGAAACAGTAACTGGGCAAAGGGATTAAGTGTGTCAGAGTCACTAAAACCGGCTCAGGCCAGGGCAGAATTCAGATCTATCGTACATAGGGTTTCTATGAACGGCAGGCGACACAATGGCACATAACAACAACAACAACAGCAACAATTTCTCTCCTGAAAATTAGCCATTGAAAACCCTACTGCGCACAGTTTTACTCTGAGACAGATAGGGTCATCATGAGTGTAGGACAGTCTAACACCAGAGGCACTTGGTTAGTGTACAAATTCCAACACCTACTCCAACCAATAGATGCTACCTTTGGATTAGCTGCACAGTTCCATAAAGAATGTGCCACAGAGCTTCCTAGGAGACTTAGCACAGGACTAATGAGTGACAAGCTCTGTAAAAAATTTCTTTTTATGCTATGCATTTTAATCATACTTTATTCAGTAAAAAAGGAAAACACTGTTGGTGATCCACACAAATAAAAAAACCTCACATACAAACACATAAACTAAAATGACCAATATCAATAGTTTAAGAATCAATTTCAACATCTGAAAAAAGCAAAACTGTATCATAAACACTTCAAATTTAAGTTTAGAATATTGGAAAAAAGCAAGATGACAGGAGATCACAGAGGAATGAAAAGGCAATATCAAAATTGCTGTTGGCATAATAGTAAGAGTCATCAGACATATTTTTTAAACAGAGGGTAGGGCAAAAAAGTCATCAAAGAAGCTATGAGTGTCTGTTTAAAAGCATGGAAAACTAGGAAAGAGTAAAGTTCTAAACCCACCATGACCGGGCAAAAGAACAAGACTGCTCAAGAAATTCGGAGTTGGCATTTAATCCTATTTCAAAATCCAAGTGTTTACCATTTAGGTACCTACAAATCTTAGTCCTTGGACCAATAGATCCATCACAGACAAGAAGACACTTTGCTTAGGAGTCTTCCCAAGGCCCCCTTGACATCCTTGTTCCTCAGGGTGTAGATGAAAGGGTTCAGCATGGGGGTGATCACGGTGTATACCACTGAGGCAGTTGAGACCTTCTCGGGGGAGTGAGTCACAGCAGACGTGAAGTGAATACCAACGCCTGAGCCATAAAATAAAGAAACTACGCAGAGGTGAGACCCACAGGTGGAAAATGCCTTCTGCCTTCCACCAGATGAGGACATCTTACGGACGGATGAAACAATTCGTGAGTAAGAGAAAAGGATACCAACGAGGGGGAAAACTCCTAGCACACTAGTCAGGAAATATATCAATGTGTTCTGCAGGAAAGTATCCGAGCAGGCCAAGTTGAGAATCTTTGTTAGTTCACAAAAGAAATGTTGAATTTCAGCATCTTTGCAGAAGGTTAGGCGCGGAATTAAAGAAATATGTAGGACACCAATCATGATACCAGTGAACCAAGAAATTAACATCAACAAGCCACATACTTGGGGGTTCATGATGATTGTATAGCGCAGCGGGTGACAAATGGCCACATACCGGTCATAGGCCATGACAGTCAGAAGGAGAGTGTCCAGAGTAGGAAAAATCATGGAGAAGTAGACTTGGGTGAGGCACTCCCTGTAGGAGATGGCTTTATTCTGTGTCTGGATGTTCACCAGCATCTTCGGAACTACAGTGCTGCTGAAACAGATGTCAACCAGGGACAGATTGGAGAGGAAGAAGTACATAGGAGTGTGGAGATGGTAGTCAGAACTGACAGCAAGGATGATGAACAGGTTCCCAAGAATAGTGACCAGATACATGGTCAAAAAAAGGCCAAATATGATGGACTGCAGTTCTGTATCGCCAGAAAGTCCAAGGAGGATGAACTCTAAAACGACTGTTTTGTTTTGTGTTTCCATGTAGCTGATGTGTCTATGAAGAAAAAGAACAACAGTTAATACATGAGCATCTCCTACATAATATCAATATTGGCATTGCTTTTCAGGCAAGTTATTTAGGAGTCATTAGTTTTGTCTAAGAGTTGGATCTCCCGACACTTATAAATCGTTGTTGTTGTTAGGTTCTGTCCAGTTGAGTATGACTCACTCAGCGACTGTATGTGTGATCAACAGATCTGAACCCTGTCCTATCCTGCGCCATCCTCACAATCAATGACCCCCTTGCGCTCATAGCTGTAGTTACTGTGTCAATTCACCTGGTTGAGCTTCTTCCTCTCTTTCACCTTCCCTCTGCCTTCCCAGCATGTCTCTCTCCAATGAGTTTCCTCTCCTACCAATATGCTCCAAGTATGTGAGGCAAAATTTTCTAAATTAGGTGAAGCCCAAGAAAATAGAGACTCTAATTCCAGCTGATTTTCTTAAACATCAGTTTTACAACTTTATGAGATTATCATAGAGCTTTAGTCATGGGACAAATCAATACTATGTACCCATTGACAGGATGCACTGAAAAGGACAAACCATCACTTTTGCAGGATTCCCTCCCAAAGTGCACGATGCCATCTAAAAGTTAAGGAACACCTGACAAACTCAAATTGAGAGACATTCTACATAGTACTTGCTCCATGCCCCTCAAAATGCTCATGCCCTCAAAGACAAAGGAAGCGTAGGAACTGTTTCAAATTAAAGGAGTTGAAAAACATCTACTGTTCCAATGTAATGTACAGTCTAGGATTTTCTTTTGCTATAAATTACACTAAAAAGAGGAAAACTCCCAATAAAATTAATTGACATGACATTTCCAATAAAGAGTGCAGGCATAATAATGATTGTGAGGACAACACACAAATGTTTCATTCTGTTGTCTATACGGTCACTACAGGTTGAAATAAATCACACTAACAACAACAACAATAATAAATTACATTATGGGATAATTATTGAAGTATAAATACATTCTGTTGATAATCATTACTGTTGTTGTTATGTGTTGTTGAGTCATACTGTGACTCATAGAGACCTATTGAACAATCGTGCCCTATCTTGTGCCATCTTCACCATCTCTAATGTACTTGAGCCTGTTGTCACAGATACCAAGTCTGTCCATCTTATTGAGGATCTTTTTCTTTTATTCTGGTCCTCAACCTTTGCAAGTATAATGTTCTTCTCCAAAGACTGGCTTCTCCTAACAACATATATAAGAGAAGAGAAATGTAGCTTCACCATCCTTGCTTCCAAGAAGCACCATGGTCATACTTTCTCCAAAACAAACTTACTTACTCTTTCAGTAGTCCATGGAATATCCAGTACTCTTCTCCAACATCACACCTCAAAGGTATTCATTCTTCTTTTGTTATCCTGAGTCATTGTTTAACTTCTAGCTGCACCGCAAGTAACTTAAAAGACCATGGCTTTGATCAGTCACCCCTTAGTCTTTAAGTTGCTCTTCACCATTTTTGGGAGCTCCCTGATAGCATATTTTTCTAAACATCTTTTGATTTATTTACTGATTGCCCTAACAGTATTCATGGAAAGATATTGTTGTATCACTGTTTATTTCCACATTTTTATTATACTGTGGTTGTACAAGATAATGTCATTGTTTTTAGGAAATAGTGCAGATGTCTTGATTTTAAATCATGCAGTGTAATCTTGCTCTATTCAGACAACAGAGTCGTGGTCTCTAGGCATAGTGCATGAGCACAATAAAGTATCCTGGGATTCCTAGTCTTCTCTATGTTAGCCATAGCTTCTAGTGAGCCACAGAGTCAAATGTGTTTGCACAGTCAATGAAATAAAAATGGCATCCTTCTGTGTTTTCCGTTTTCAGTCAAGGTCCATCCATCTGACATCAGCAATGATATCTCTTGGTGCCATGGCCTCTTATAAATCTGACTTGAATTTCTGGCAGTTCTCTGTACCTATACTTTGCTAGCCATTTTTAAATAATATTTAGCAAGAAATCAAGAGAAGTGTGCACCAAGGCTGTATCCTTCCTCCATACTTATTCAATCCATATGCAGAACAAATTGTTTGGGAAGCTTGACTTTAAGAAGAAGGTGGCATCGGGATTGGTGGAAATTCATCAACAATCAGTGTTATTCAGATGACACTTTCTTCCTCAGTGAAAGTGAAAAAGGTTGGAAGCATTTACTAGACAAGATAAAAATCCTTCAATATGGATTATACCTCTACATTTAAAAAAAGGTCCTGCGTGGAAAACAATATATATAAATTATATTAACTTTGTATGCTGTATGAGGGAAAATGTGGCATCAGGATTGGTGGAAGATTCAACAACAGTCCGCATTATGCAGATGACACAACCCTGCTTGCTGAAACTGAGGAGGACCTGAAGTGTTTGCTGCAGAAGGTCAAGGACTGCAGCCTTCAATGTATATTGAGGCTCAGTATCAAGAAGACAAAGATTCTCACCACTGGGCCAATTGACAGTACCAGGAAGAGATTGCAATTGTTCATAGCTTTAGTTTGCTTGGCTCCACAGTCAACACTCTTGGAACGAGCAGCCAGGAAATTAAAAGACATATTGTAATGGGAAAGTCTGCAGTTAGGGACTGCTCCAAAGTACTGAAGAGCAATGGTGTCACTCTGGAGACTAAGGTGTACCTAATACAGGCCGGCCATGATCTTTGCAATCACTTGTTATATGTCAGAGAGATGGACAATGACTAGGGAGGATGGAAGGAGAATTGATGCCTTTGAGCTGTGGTGCTGGAGAAGAGTATTGACTATACCATGGACTGCTAAGAAAATTAACAAGTTCATCCTAGAGAGGGTTAAACCAGGCTGCTCCTTGAAGGCAAGGATTCTGAAGCTTCATATGACATACTTTAGATATGTTGCAAGGCGGGACCAGTCCTTGGAGAAGGACGTCATGCTTGGGAGGGTGGAGGCACAGAGCACCAGAGGAACACCCTCAATGAGGTAGATTGATTGAGTGACTGGGGTAATGGGGATAGGAGTGTTGGAGACAGCGAGATTGGAACAGGACATAGCAGGGCATAACTACACTGCATTGAAAAACAAGGAACTCATGCAATATTATTCAAAATGGGTGACCCTGGAGGACATTATGCTGAGTGAAGTATCTCAGTCACAAAAGGACAAACACTGCATGGTGTCACTGTTTTAAAACAGGACTGACCTCGGGGTTGGCAGGAGACTGAGAAAGATGGGTTCAATAATGTATATTTCTTTGAAACAGATGAGGGAGAAAACTGTTTAAAAGGGATATGTGATTAGGTATTTTTGTCATAACAGGAATCCAGAGCGAAGGCTGCATAGTCGAGTGGACCTGAGGGGAGCGATTACTTGTAAAACAATGAAAGAATTTTTCTTTTACTTTTCCAAGAGGGTAGTGGGGGAGGGTTGAGAGGGGAGAAAATTGCAACAATGAATGAATGGAAATCCAAAGTCTCTGTAAATTTTCATTGAAATTAATAATACATTCTTTTAAAAAAGAAAAAATTGTCCATAGTTTTTACATAATCTGCCACATGTAGTAGTATATGAGTGACGTTATTTTTTTCTTAAATTGGCAAAATCACAATGAAGCTGCATGCAACTATGTTGTCGTTGTGGCAGATTTAAAATGGTGATTTAATACATGAAATGCACATAGGGCTTTTCCCATTTCTTCATTCCTTGGGTAAGTTTTAAAAAGTTACATTGTTTGAAATAATTTGTCAGTCTCATTACATTTCCAGATTAAAGGATTATGATGATGCACATATCCTTAATAGTACTTTAAATGCCATTTTGTGACCTAAGAAAAGGATGACATTTTTTAATCTTTTAAAAGGACCATCTTTTGTCTCTATTGATCTGCTCTGTTATGCCCTGTTCTTTATCTCAGTAATCTCCACATATATTGTTTTTATTTTTCTTTTTTTACAATCTAATATATTATTCTTTTCCTCACTTTTTGAGACTATGCCAGGAATGAAAAAAAAATGAAGAAAAACGAAATTATGTTCATAGTAAGAAAGACCATTTCTAGATTCATTCTGAAGTACAATGTTGTGAGAGACAGGTTATTATCTATATATGTTTAATAAAGACTGGTTAATATCACTATCATTCAAATGCCAACATCTAAAGCCAAGGACGATCAAATATCAACTTTTGCAGTATGAAATCAAACAAACATGCAATCAAGATTCATTACCAATAACTGATTGACTGGAAGGCAAAAGTTGAGAACATAGAAGAAAGATCAATAGTCGGAAAATATGAGCTTGGTGATGGAAACAAGGCTGGGGCCAGAATGATAGAATTTTGAACAATCAGTGATTTATTAATTACATATACCTTCTGCTAAAAGCACAAATGACAATTATATACATAAGCCTCACCTGACAGACTACACAAGAATCAGATTGATTACATTTATGGGAAGAGTAGTTACAGAAGCTCAATACCAGCTGTTAAAACCAGACTGGGTGCTGCTGACTGTGGAACAGACCATGAACTCCTCTTGTGCAAGTTCAAATTAAAGCTAAAAAATGAAAACAAATCCATAAAAACTAAAATACAGTGTTGAGTCTTCTCCAGAACTGGTTTGAAGCATTAATGAACAAAGACCAGATGAGCTGTGAGATAATATTAAAGAGACCAACTATGAAGAAACCAAAAGGTCATTATAAAAAAGAGGGGTGGAAGAAAAGGCCACAATGGATGTCAGACGAGACTCTGAATATTGATTGCACTAGAACACTGAGAAAACAAAACAAAGGGAGAAATGAGAAAGTTAAAGAGTTGAAGAGATTTAAAGGACAGCTCATGAAGACAAAGCAAAATACTATGAAATGTGCAAAGAGCTGGAGTTAGAAATTAAAAGGGAAGAACTCAATCGGCATTTCTCAAGCTGAAGGAACTGAAGAACAAATTCAAGACTCAAGTTGCAGTACTAAAGATTTTATGGAAAAAATCTTGAATGATCC